GAGCTATCCGTTCTCCCTTGGGGAGGGGGTAAAGTTTAATATAGTTTATATAGGGAAATAACACTTTTCGGTATATATTTTATCCATTTTCAGCAGAAAATTACTCAAACTTAGTCAGAATCATCTTGGGTGAATGAGAGTATTACTTTGTAAAATTGGGATTCCTGCCCCATCCCCAGGGGCTAGGGCAGGGCCCCAAAGGGAACATTTACCAATATTTTCAAATTCTTATCCATTGATGACATGACAAGATTGTATTTCACTTAGTTTACATGCTGATTTCCACATCACATCTAAACAATAAAATAAAGCTACTAGTACCTTTGATATAACTCAGGTGACCGCTAAGGCCCTTGGGCCTCTTGTTGATAGATGTGAGGTATGTGTTGTGTCATATTGAAGAATTCCATGTTTTCATATAGGAGTGCGCTCTGGCTCCACACCAGACATCTATCTGTCAAAATGTCTAAGTCTGGTGTTAGGGCCAGAGGAAACTCGGGCTACTACAGTTCTGACCAGTTTCTGAAAATTTGCATTTTGAAAATTTGGGCTAATCAGTTCTTGAGCATTTTGCAGTCAGAAATACTGAAACAATATTTACTGTAGTTTTCCTTAATATCACTTCTCCTTTGTCAGAGAAAAAATCATGACATTGACTGGAATGTGACATTAATAGAAAACATGTTTCTAGCTCACCTTCAAAGGAAGTTTATGCCATGTCCGTCGTCCATCCGGCTACTTGTCCTGAACAGCCCAGTAGATTTGGACTAAATTTGGTCAGGAGCATCCTTAAGCAAAGGGGACTCAATCATGTATAAATGGAGGGTCTGACCCCCCTGGGGGCTGAGGGGGCGGTGCCCAATAGGGGAAATATAGCAAATCTTTAAAATCCTTCTTCTGTAGGAATAAAAGGATTTGTTCCATATTTGGTCAGAAGCATCCTTGGGGAAAGGGGGACAAATGTGGTATAAATGGTGGGTCCGGCCCCCCTTGGGGCTGAGGGGCGGGGCCCAATAGGGATATATAGCAAATTCTTTAAAATCCTTCTTTTTCTGTAGGAATGAAAGGATTTGTTCCATATTCAGTCTGAAGCATCCTTGGGTGAAGGGGAACCAGTTATGTATAAACCGTGGGTCTGGCTCCCCAGGGGCCTAAGGGGCGGTGCCCAATAGGGGAAATATGGCATATTCTTTAAAATCCTTCTTCTGTAGGAATGAAAGGATTTTTAGCTCACCTGGTCCGTCGTCCGTCTGGCGTCGACTTTTACTTTAAACAACTTCTTCTCAGTAACCAAAAGGCCTAGGGTGATGATATTTGGCCAGAAGCATGCTTGGATAAAGGGCTACCAAGTTTGTTCAAATAAATGACCTTCATCAATTTTCAAGGTCACAGGGGTCAAATATGTTAAAAACCTTTAAACAACTTCTTCTAAATAACCAAGAGGCCTAGGATGATGATATTTGGCCAGTAACATGCTGACATAAAGGGCTACCAAGTTTGTTCAAATAAATGACCTTGCCTTATATTTAAGGTCACAGGGGTCAAATATGTTTAAAACCTTTAAACAACTTCTTCTGAATAATCGAGAGGCCTAGCTAGGATGATGATATTTGGCCAGTAACATGCTGGGATGAAGGGCTACCAAGTTTGTTAGCTCACCTGGCCCGAAGGGCCAAGTGAGCTTATGGCATGGTGCGGCGTCCGGCGTCCGGCGTCCGTCCGGCGTCAACGTTTTACTTTAAACAACTTCTTCTCAGTAACCAAAAGGCCTAGGGTGATGATATTTGGCCAGAAGCATGCTTGGATTAAGGGCTACCAAGTTTGTTCAAATAAATGACCTTGCCTTATATTCAAGGGCACTGGGGGCAAATATGTTAAAATCTTTTAAATAACTTCTTCTGAATAACCGAGAGGCCTAGGGTGATGATATTTGGCCAGTAACATGCTGGGATGAGGGGCTACCAAGTTTGTTCAAATGAATGACCTTAACTTATATTCAAGGTCACAGGGGTCAAATATGTTTGAAACCTTTATATAACCTCTTCGTGATAACCAAGAGGCCTAGGGTTATGATATTTGGGAAGTAGCATGCTAGGATGAAGGGCTACCAAGTTTGTTCAAATGAATGACCTTGAAGTATATCAAAGGTCACAGGGGTCAAATATGTAAAAAAAATAAATACTTTAAAGACTTCTCAATTAGCAAAAGGCCAAGGGTGATGATATTTGGCCATCATCAGTCTGGGATGAAGGGCTACCAAGTTTGTTAAAATGAATGACCTTCGCCCATATTCAAGGTCACAGTGGCCATATGTTTAAATCTTTTAATAGGTTCTTATGAATCAAACACTGATATTCTGCCTCTAGCTATATTTTAGTCCACGTTTAAGATTATAAGTGTGAAATTAATACCAGGTGAGCGATTCTTGTATTAAAGGTCGCAGAGGGCAAATATGTTTAAAACCTTTAAACAACTTCTTCTGAATAACCAATAGGCCTAGGGTGATGATATTTGGCAAGTAGCATGCTGGGATGAAGGGCTAAAAAGTTTGTTCAAATGAATGATCTATATCTTTTTTCAAGGTCACAGGGGTTAAATATGTTTTAAACCTTTAAACAACTTCTTCTCAATAACCAAGAGGCCTAGGATAATGCCAGTAACATGCTGGGATAAAGGTCTACCAAGTTTGTTCAAATGAATGACCTTTAATTATATTCAAGGTCACAGGGGTCAAATATGTTAAAAACCTTTAAACAACTTCTCAATAACCAAAAGGCCTAGGATGATTATATTTAGCCAGTAGCATGCTGTGATGAAGGGCTACCAAGTTTGTTCAAATGAATGACCTTGACATATATATGTCACAAGTGTCAAATATGTTTAAAAAAACATTGAATGACTTATTCTTAATAAGCAAAAGGCCAAGGGTGATGATATTTGGCCAGCAACATGCTGGGATGAATGACTACCAAGTGAATGACCTTCGCCCAAATTCAAGGTCACAGTGGTCAATATATGTTTAAATCTTTAAATGATTTGTTCTGTATAACCAAAAGGTCCAGAGTAATGATATTTTGCTAGAAGCATGCTGGGTTGGAAGACTATTAACTCTGTTCAACCTAATGTTCTTGTTCGACATTCAAGGTCACAGGCGTCATATGTTTAAATCTTTTAATAGGTTCTTATGAATCAAACACTGATATTCTGCCTGTAGCTGTATTTTAGTCCACTTTTAAGATAACAAGTGTGAGATTAATACCAGGTGAGCGATGCAGGCCCATTGGGCCTCTTGTTTCCATATTTAGTCTGAAGCATTCTTGGGTGTAGGGAAACTATATTAGGTTAAACAGTGGGTGTGGCTCCCCTGAGGGCTGAGGGGCGGGGCCCAATAAGGGAAATATAGCAAATTCTTTTAAATCCTTCTACTTCTGTAGGAATGAAAGAATTTGTTCCATATTTAGTCTGAAGCATCCTTGGGTAAAGGGGAACCAATTTTGTATAAACCGTGGGTCTTG